GTATAGTCTACAGTATATATATATATATATATATATATATATATATTTAGCTAGTTCAACTGTTTATTGTTGTACACCATAGTAAGCACATTTTTCGTCAATGATGGTATTGTAAATATAGTGAGACGGCAGACATACTTGAGTGATTTCGGTCGCATTTTGTCCGCGTTCATCCTCTTAATAACGGTTCATAATTGACTAAGTGTTGTGCTTGTATTTGACCTGCTTTGTCTGAGTATTTCCAAATGCCTCTACATACTAGTAGAGGGATGGACTGGAGCAGCCTGAATAGCCTTGCCAAGTATTTGCATGAGTTATGACTTGACATGCTCATAAATATAAAGTCCTTAGGACTTGTCCGTTCTCCCTTAAATTTTACACTTCTAGAGAGAGGGTCATGAGAATCTTCAATTTTATTTTAGGACGATATGGAAGAGTACCTAATTGGCGCCCAATTTGAATTAAAGTTCGGTAGAAGGGGTCCTCGCATCTTGTCCAAAGAAAATGAGACATTTATCGAGTGAAAACTTGTGGCGGACATCTGATTGGCCGAGAGATTTTCTGCCGATCCTTATTCTCATAGGGTACCAGGTATGGACACCAATATTTCGTATATAACATAGTGAGGATTCGTGCGGTCTTATCGACGCCTATTTAACTCTTTATACTTTTGAGTTCAGTTGCGCTAGTTATGGTTGTAGGCTTGTAGCTTTGTGTATATCAAAAGCTGTGCCCAACAGACCTCTCTGGCAGTATAGCATGTTACTTTAATGATCTATAGCGGTTCATATGTGCGCGTATAGCGAGTCTGGATGTGTATTTTGGGTACCTCATATTCTAACCAGTACCATTTATACCAGTGAGAATATGAGGCACTCGAAATACACGTCCAGACTCGCTATAAGCGTATAATTAAATACCCCCCCATGTCTATTTAGAACGTTATGCCCATAGACCATTGTTAAAGTAGTATGCTATAATGCCAGAAAGGTATGTCATCATTGTCATGTTTGGATGGACTTGTACAAGGCCTACGTGTGGACTGTGGCTACATAGTTTGAGTTTAAGCCAGTTCTGGGGCAAACTAGAATCCATCAAAACCTTTTAACCAATAGTCTGACCGGCATGAGATTAAGCATACATTTAATCGTTTATTACCCGTCAGTACTAAGAATTTGAGTCCTTTAAGTGCCAATGATATTGAAATTGTAATGTCAAACATCTGGGTTAACCACTATATAATTAGAGAGTAAATCCCCCTGGTTCCTCCGTCCAATATTTGACGTAGTCTGCTTTTTTTGTTTTGCTAAAAAAAAAACTCTATAAAAAAAAAGAAGCCTTTTTTGGTCTCTGGCACAAGAGACCAGCAGTCATTGCCGTTGGTATCAAATAATCAAGGACCAAGAGACCTAAAAGAACAGTCTTGAGTATCTATCAGAACATAGCCTTCTATTTAAAATATACAGAAGGCTATGATCAGAACGCCACATAAACTCGAAGGCTACATGTAATAACTATACAACGAGAAAGCTTGTTTTCTCCTCCTTTATAGCATGTAGTAGGGTATAATAAACTTATTTTCACGTATGCAAGCACTTGTGTGCAAGTATTTATCAATATATTCCGAGGAAGTTTTTTTATTAAAAATCTCCCATTTCTATTCCACAAGTATCGACGTGTTGATTAGCTAATTGATAGTAGTGTTATACTCGAGAAGCGTTCATCTATCTCCGAATGCTATTGAGTCAGCGTGCCTAGAGCAGAATGTCGACTCCGTTGCTAGGAGTTGCTCAAGAAAGTATCAAGAAATCAGAGATTGAGGCAGTCATATCCCCTGACTATGGGAAGGTACACATCATCAAGAAAGGTTTCGGAGGAACGATTAGCACAGCCGTTAAACTGAACACTGATCTGAAAGTGATAGTAAAATCAGTTGATAAAGATGCAGCTCCAGACTGGTGAGTATGTCTGTAACTGTAACCTTTTGGTCTGAGTAGGGATCATCTGGCTGTAGGTCTATTTTGGGCTCAGACCCAATTTTGAGAACTCATATGTGGTCTTGCGTTCGGGCTAGTATATTTCTTTGGTCATATTGGTCTATATAAAGCCACTATACTGTAAATTTTAACAGTATATTTATATATGTACAGACATTTGGAATAATGTATTTGACAGTTTGTGACAGTTACTTTATATCCCCAGCGTCTATGATTCTTTATGTTTTTCAAAAGTTTCTTTGTAGCAGTATACAAGATAGGCTCCAACCAAAATCGGTTCCTAAGCCAAGCTTCTATACCGAATGCTTAGGGTGTTTGTGCGCTCACAACAACGCAATTGAGTACGAACATATGCATATCGCGAGGACTACCAATATCACACACACAGAAACACACACACACACACACACACACACACACACA